AGTTCTGTCTTAGCAAGGTTGAGTTGAAGGCGATGGTCCTTCATCCAGCCAGAAATGTCTGTCAGACAGGTTGCAATGTGAACAGCTACCATCAGATAATCTGGTTGGAATGAGAAGTAGAGTTGAGTGTCATCAGCATAGCAGTGATAGGAAAAGCCACGTTTCTGAATGGCAGATCCTAATGATGACATGTAGATGGAGAAGAGAATTGGTCCAAGCACTGAGCCCTGAGGAACCCCAGCAGCAAGAAGCTGTTACTTTTGAAACCTCACCCCTCCAAGACACCCTGAAGGACCTGAGATGCCCATCTTCATGAGGGTGGACAGGAGGATCTGGTAGTTAACTGTGTCAAAATCAGCAGACAGATCCTGCAAGATGAGCACTGAGGATTTGGAAGCTACTCTTGCCAGTGTCAGGGCTTCAGTAACCGAGAGCAGGGCAGTCTCAGTTGAGTGGCCGCTTTTGAAGCCAGATTGGCTGTTGTCAAGGAGGTTGTTCTGTGCAAGAAACATAGAGAGTTGGTTGAACACAACTTGCACAAGCGTCTTTGCAATGAATGGAAGAAGGGATACTGGTCTGTAGTTTTCTAAAAGTGCTGGATTTAGAGAGGGTTTCTTAATCAGTGGGGTTACCCGAGCCTGCTTAAATGCTGTGGGAAATATACCAGTGTGAAGAGAGGTGTTGATAATGTGAGTGAGTGCAGGTAAAACCGAAGAATAAATGGCCTAAAAGGAGGTGAGTGGGGACAGGATCAAGCTGACAGGTAGTAGGATGATTGGAAAGAATACGTTTGGAAACGTCTGCCTCCAAGAGTGGAGAGGAGGAGGAGGGAGAGTGTGTACTTCTTGTAGTGATGTGTTTGTCAGTTTATGGTGTGGAAAATTGGCTGCTGATGGTTCTTGTTTTATTTATGATGAGTATTGCAAAGTGTATATATATATATATGTATATATATATATATATATATATATATATATAAACTTTGCATGTGTGGTTTCAGTTATCCCTAATTTTTTTTCTACCTAAATTTAGTGTAGGTTTTTGTATGTAAGTTACTCATGAATCAAGATTATTTTGTGAAAAATTCATTTGTACGCTGATTTTATGCACAAATTGTTGAAATTCACACACTTAGTGAATGAGACCCATTCTCCTTCTAGAGAGCATCTGGGGGCAGTTGCATAAACACTACGTAGTCTGACCAAAGTGTACAGTCTTATTTTCTGGATTCAAATTAGGTCAATATAGTTTGCATAAAAAGTTACGTCTTTAAAGTCTTTAAAAAGTTAATACCAACTCTAGACTAAGTCTAGTCTAGTCTAAGTGGTTTATGCAACTGGCCACTGATTGGACAAAAATCTGTGTAGTGCAGGATGAGTCATCAATGTTTTTTTTTTGGAAGATAAATAGTAAATTTTAAATGTTTATATCTGCTATGTTTTAAGTCACTGTAACAGAAGTAACACAAGTTTGAGAAAAGTCTGTCATTTCACTAGAAGATCCCCTAATGACATTTTTATTAACAATTACAAGGTTAAAACTGTTTTTATAAACGTATACTTGAATTGTTCAGAATATCAAAAACATGCATTCACGAAATAGAGTGAACTGTCATTTCATGTTGATGTGTACTCTAGCATATAGCTCAAAACTCTAATTTTGATTTCATAAGGTCTTTGTAATCTCAAAAAACAAACAACAAAGATCAGGTAAAAATGTAAGTGTATTTTTGGTTTTGTGATATCATCAATGCAGCAAGTCAGAAATATCAACCTTCTCAGAAAAAAAAGCCTGAGGATAGTAATACCCCATAAATCTCCAAAGAGCACAGAACACCTCTCATCTTTAGAGAAGAGGATATATCCATCTCTGCCGCTGTCTTACATTCTTAACACAAGCATAGAAGACAGCATACAAAAGACAACAACAAACAAAATATTATTTTACAAAGAGGGAAAAATAGAAACATCTCTTTATCTGTTTAAAGGTAGTTTGGTCACACGAGCTCATTGCATCGACACATTTCATCCCTTCAAAGTCTTTTCTTCTTATATTGAAAAATTCTGCACTCAAAAAAATACTGGTAGCTATTTATCCATCTACAAATAGAAAATGTTCTAAAAAACATTCCTCCGTCTAAATTTTTCTTTATAACAGAACTGGAAATGATCTGGTGGGGAAACACGACCAGCACCACCATGAGCGACGTCTACATACAGACACGTCACGAGAAAGTCATTCACTTGAAAAGAAAATCACCAATGTCCGGGCAGACATGCTCTTAATGCTCCAAGATAAAGCAGTGCTATACTACAAACTGAAAACTGAAACAAAATCCCACATGTCAAGAACTTAACCTCAGTATAACGAATGTCTGGGCACTTTACTTTGGTTAAAGGGACAGTTTACCCAGAAAGTACGTTTCTGTCGTTATTTTCTTACCATCTTGTCATTATAAATTCCAAAAGGATATGTTTGGCAGGATGTTCATGCTTCTCTTTCCCATACAATGAACATGAATGGTGACCAAAGGCTCCAGCAATATAAACGCAGTCCATATGGCTTGTGCGCTATATTTCAAGACTTCCAAAGCCATTTGATAGTCTTGACTAAAGAACAGACCAAAATGTAACTAATTTTTCACTGAAAATCAAATGTCTTGATGTACCATATTATAACAAATGTCAATGAGAGAAAAAAAGTACTTACATTTCAGTCTGTTCCTCTAGCAAAAGTATCTAATGACTTGGAATATAGTGTACAATGCCATACAGACTATTATTTTGGTGATTTTTTTAATTTTTGGAGCCTGACAGCCTCTGGTCTCCATCCACTTTAACTGTACGGAAAAGAGCAGCATGAAAGCTCTGCTAAATTTCTCAATTTCCACAAATAAAAAGGAAGCAATACAGGTTTGGAACAATATGAGTGTAGTAAATGATAAAAGAACTGCCCAATTTTGGGTGAACTTTCCATTTAACCATTTAAAGGTTATTTTAAAAAGCCAAAAATAAGGGATCAGCACCATTTTTAGGCCTTTTCACATTTTTTTTTTTTCAAAGCATCTGTGATTCAGACATCTTGGCATAATCCTTGAAAAAATAAAAATAAAACATTAAGTCAATTCTTCTGTAGCTAGTTAGATCACATTCACATTTCAATTGTGATATGAATAATAGTCACATCTTCTCAGTGCTGGTGACGAGACTGACATGCTTCACCCTTTCAGTCGCCGTTATAATATAATAAAACTACAAATGAAAACATGAAATCAGGTCAGAAATGTGAGACACGAACAGTAATACAACTGAAATGGAACTTGTGGTGGCTTAAATACTCCAAAATTTGATATTTACACAACCAACAGATTACCAATACAGTAATGTATAGAAAAAATATATATATATCTAAATGGAAATCTTGTGGTGCTGTGAAGAATCATACATTTGCAGAACTCCCTTTTAAAAAGCCAGTAGCTAAAGCATGGACAACCGATCAAGCATGATGCTCCACTGTTTGTGTAAGCAGCAGAGCTCTGAAAAAAGCACATGCACCAACACATACGCAGGAAAACCTGTGATTCAGACATCTTGGCATAATCCTTGAAAAAATAAAAATAAAACATTAAGTCAATTCTTCTGTAGCTAGTTAGATCACATTCACATTTCAATTGTGATATGAATAATAGTCACATCTTCTCAGTGCTGGTGACGAGACTGACATGCTTCACCCTTTCAGTCGCCGTTATAATATAATAAAACTACAAATGAAAACATGAAATCAGGTCAGAAATGTGAGACACGAACAGTAATACAACTGAAATGGAACTTGTGGTGGCTTAAATACTCCAAAATTTGATATTTACACAACCAACAGATTACCAATACAGTAATGTATAGAAAAAATATATATATATCTAAATGGAAATCTTGTGGTGCTGTGAAGAATCATACATTTGCAGAACTCCCTGTTAAAAAGCCAGTAGCTAAAGCATGGACAACCGATCAAGCATGATGCTCCACTGTTTGTGTAAGCAGCAGAGCTCTGAAAAAAGCACATGCACCAACACATACGCAGGAAAACAGAGATACACGTCCACACGGCTGTAAAAAAAACGGTCACGTTTGCATGCTGACGTCTCGAGGTGATATTCCACGTTTGGTTGCAATGCCACTGAAACTTGGTAGTGATATAACTCGTGTTTATTTTACACCGCAGAACTGACCAAACGTCAAGCGCAATTGACTTCCTCTTAAATCTGTAAACAACGTCGTGATGGATTTAATGCCCAGGAAACTCTGAGTGAGTAAATTGCATTACACAAACTGTCAATATTACATAATCCATCCTTTAAGAAATGATTTTGTACTGACTTTGCATGATTCCACTGTGGTTCAGCTGTGAGCATCATTTTCGTAGCTGCTGGAGTAAAAATGGCACTTTGCAAGATTGTACACAACAACAACCAAAAAACAGCAGAACGACATAAAAACCCAGTCCATGCTTAGCAGCAGAGGAGCAAAACCAACAGGACACGAGTGCCAGGGTAGGAAAAAGCCCTTTCGCTGAAAAACGTGCATATAGCGGAGAAATCGCGCTATAGAAAAACAAACGAAGACAAACTCATTAGTTGTCAACGATTAGTTGCAGCTACACACTTAAAAAAAAGGAGATTTTGCTTCCGAGCTCAGCTTGAGAGTTCTGCAGCAGTGCGGCTCAAACCTTGACAGTTCAAATGTCCATGTAGTCGTCTTCCTCATCCGACTCGCTTTCAAGAGAGGACTCCTGACTCGATGTCTCTTGCACTTCTAAAGCGGGCTGAGCGAGAGTGTCTTTCTTCACGTTAGCTGCCGACTGAGAGGAGAGGATCACATTCTGACGGGAACAAACCAGACAAAGAGAACATTTAAAAAGAGCATCTGATGATCTACAGGGGCCCCCAAAATATTTAAAATGCCACAAGTGTTTTGTCATGTTTTGAGTCATTGTATCTGTCGATGTGTCAATATCGCAAAGAGCTTATCCGCTTCACTTTGAAATAGGAATGAATATTGGTGATGCAAAAATACCAACCTTGAGTTTCTGTTTGGTCTCCTCGGAGATGCTACCCTTCGGGGAGAGCAGGGTGGGTGTGGGGGGCGTGACTGTTATCTCTGGGGGGAATTTAATGACTGTGGAGGGGATCACCAGTTTGGGCATGTTGGGAGGAATTCTGGACCGGATGCGATTTGCATCTCCCTGCTTTGACTGGTCACTTTCTGTAAACAATCATTGACACACACACACACACACACAAAAGTCATTTCTTAGTTTAGATGGCTTTATTATTATTCTAAAAATGTGGAAAATTCAAGTAGAGAATAAGTAGGTGCTATATAATTATTTTAATTATTGCATTAATTCTTTATATTTAAATATCAAATACGTATATTTACAATAATATTTATTTATTCATTACACTAACGTTTAAAAGTTTGGGGTTGGTAAGATTTTTTTGTTTGTTTGTTTTTGAAAATTATCTTACGCTCATCAAAAAGTTGCATTTATTTGATCAGAAATACAGTTAAAACAGTAATATTAAAAATGTCAAATAACTGTTTTCTATTTAAACGCATTTCAAAATGTAATTTATTGCTGTGATCAAAGCTGAATTTTCAGCATCATTACTCCAGTCTTCAGTGTCACATGATCTTTCAGAAATCAGTATAATATGCTGCTCAAGAAACATTTATTATTATGTTAAGTGTTGAATCAGTTGTGCTGCTTCATATTTTTGTGGAAACTGTGAAACTTTTTTCAGGATCCTTCAATGAATATAAAGTAGGGATGTTCATTTGAACCAGTTAACCGACCGTGAAGAATTTTGACCGACTAATACAATCAGTTAAACGGTTTAAAAAGTCATTTTTATTTGTATTTTTTTTAGTAATTTATCAAAATATTTTAAAAGGTTTGCTGCATGGTTGAAATACGCTATGCGCATAAAAAAAAAATTGCGTGTTTTTTTTTTTAGAGGAAATAAAAACAAGTCACGTCTGAGTCGCATTTTATTATTTCATTCAGAAATAGGCCTAATGCCGATGCGAAATGTTTACAAACATTATAATAAACACTGTAAACATAGCTAGGCTATTTTAATTCCCCTCACTCCACAACAAAGCCTTACAATTAACAGTATTTAGAAAAGAACAAGAATTTAAAATATAAGAAGCTATAGCTAAACGTCAATGACAAGCCAAAACGAATTAATTTAGGCTAAAACGAAACTGAAATCAACATTGCGTCTCTCATTCGACACAAAATCAAATGTTTCCGTATTTGTGATGTATTTGAATGGCAAAATATTATTTATTATGTAGCCTACTTCACTCGCGTTCCAATATCCACGCAAAACAAAATGTTTTGCATAACATCACGGCGGTACTGTGATAACGCTTAATGGCACAGATTTTACTACATATTTAAACTGAGCAGTGTGTTTTTCCCATATGTTTGACTGACTGTATTTTATTATGATAATGAACAGGCTGCATTGTCAAGGTAGCAAAGCTTAACTGTGTGCGTATGCGGCGCCGGCACAATCACTTGAGTTTTTTCCTTCTAACAGTGGAAGCAACTACTCCTTTTAGTCCTAAAGATAATCGGAATTGTAAAAGGTTTGCCTTTATTTGTGTACATTCACAATAAAAACAAATCTTTGTGCTTTTGTAAAATAAGCCTAAAGAAAAATAGGATGCCGCTTTCTGCCGTCTTGGTTTCCTTTCGCACAGCACAAAAATGAACCGAAACTCTGCATACTAGGCTACTTGTTGCACAGTTTTTCTTTCGTTTTCTTAATTGATTATTTAAGTAAAAATATATTTATCGTATAGACTTATTTATTCGTTATAAATATATAGCCTAGCTTTATTATGTTTTTCTCCGCTGGCAGAAGCGCTGCAGGTGCGTGATGTGCAGGATGGCTATTATATGACCATGTGAATCCTCATGTTCTGTTATTTGCTGCTTTTGCGCATGTAAAATTAATCCCCGGGAAACAAATGTTAGTATTTTTTAACGGGTCACAGACACGTATCCTTTCTAATTTAATTCAATTCGAATTTAAAATTAAGCTTGTTGGTTAACGGTTAATAATCGGTTAACGAGCGTCAGTTGTCGGTTAGGAAAAATAACCGAAATGAACATCCCTAATATAAAGTTCACAAGAGCAGCATTTTGTAACACTATGAATGTCTTTACTGCCACTTTTGATCAAGTTAATGCATCCTTGCTTAATAAAAGTCTTCATTGCTTTAAAAAAAAAATCTCAAAATACGTGAGCAGATGTTACCTGTGCTGGTTTGTGTTGAACAGGATGGGGGCTCGTGACTGTGAATCTGAGAGACGGTGGTCATCTTCATCTGCTGGCACAGATGGGACTCCTGCTGGTGGTACAGCAGACCCTCAGTAACCGGCTCCTCTCTGTCCTCTACACATACAGACACATCAGAGACACGTGCCAGTAATAAACACATTGTTTAGGCCATCAAATCTGAAAGTATGGTCACATTCAAACCAGTTTTAATGCATCAATTATATTATGCATATCAGTGTTATTTTAGAATTATTTACAGTACATACTATTATAGCATGTATTAATATTTTAAGTTACTTTTATTTTTAAATATGCAGTTTTAATTTGACGTTTACTTTTAGTAATTCTGTTGTTTGCTTATATCTTTTACATTTCTAGTTAGCTTTATTTTTATTTCTGTTTTAGGTTTCAACTTTCAAATGTAGTTTCATTTCTAATTTTTTTTTAATTTAAGGTTAACATTTTTCTAATATTTATATTTTATTTCATTGTTTGTTTTTTAAGGAAAATGATTTTTGATAGCTTTAGTTACCAACATTGATGCAGATCACCACTAATACACATTGATGAAGGACATTTATAATATCTGCATCTATTTTTCAGTCTTCACTAAAGTGTCAGAATAAAATGTGTCTGAGATACAGTGTTGTTAAGGATTGAGGTTCGGTTACTATGCTTGTGAGAATGACAACATTATTTAATTAGCTTAAATCAATAATACAGTGCCAGATATAGCATGTCTGTGCGCATCCAAGTATGTTTATGATGACTGCATGTTTACAGCTAACGTCATTTCATGAGGTAAATTAATTTTTGACGAGGTTTAATATGGTACAAACTGTGACTGCATTTCAAAGACTGAGCTGACCAGCACAAATGTGATTATGTAGTAGTGCATGCACTTTCATTTGGCCTCAAGGACGCACACAGGGCCTTTCAGCCGTATACATGCACACTTAACGCAATCATGTACTTGGGCACTTCATCCTAGTTTCCTTAGCAACGGAGCATGAAGCACAGAACATATCAGCCTAAACTAGACACAGCGAACACCAGTCCGTCTGAGTGTGTATCTTAGAGGAAGTGAGACAGACACAACTTGCTGTATTAGTAATGGAAATGTTGTTGAAGTTATAAGCTGCATGTTGATGCCCAGCATGCAGTGGTTACATAAAGTAACATAAAGTGAACAAACACGCCCTCTGCTGGACACATGCGGAGTGTCAACCAAAGCAGCATCTACTAAAAAGGGTGTGTTTGAAATAACATACAGGTACTACCATACTAATTTCATATAGTATGCAGTGTACTGTGCATAGTCCGCAACTTTTCAGTATGCATACAATACCCACGTGACCTACCACGTTTGCCAAAATGTGAAGTATACAACGGAGAAAACTTCATGGAATAATGTATCCCACAATGCAATGCTCTCAACTTGACCTTCAAAGTGTGATTAATGACTTTTTTCTTTTTATTATTCTCATTATTTGCTGGGACTGTCAAATGTAAAGTTTACAAAATTGAAATAAAAATGCAAAACAACCATATTTACCATTCAAAAGTTTGGGGTTGGTAATTTTTTTTTAAATGTTTTTGAAAACAAGACTCTTATACTCACCAAAGCTGCATTTATTTGATCAGAAATAAGTTTATTATTATTTAATACAGTAAAAACAGTAATATTATTACAATTTAAAATAACTGTATTCTATTTATATTTTAAAATGTAATTTATTCCTGTGATGCTAAGCTGAATTTCCAGCATCATTCCTCCAGTCTTCAGAGTCACATGATCCTTCAGAAATCAGTATAATATGCTGATTTGCTGCTATAGAAACATTTCTGATTATTATCATTGATGAAAACAGTTGTGCTGCTAATTCTTTTTGTGGAAACTGTGATATTCTTTTCAGTATTCTTTGATGAACAAAGTATAAAAGAACAGCATTTATTTGAAATAAAAACCTTGTAACATTGTAAATGTCTTTTATTGTCACTGTTGATCAATTTAATGCATCCTTGCTGAATAAAACATGTATTTCTTTCACTAAAATAATCTTACTGAGTCCAAACTTTTGAATGGTAGTGTATTTCTAAGCTGATAATTGGACAGCTGATATGTGCACTAATTTAAACCTGTACACTTCACTAAATCATGCTGTACTAGAAAGTATACACATTATATATTGCATAGTATGCAGTGAATAGTACACTATGTAGTATGCCAAGTGTTATGCACAGTAGATTCATTTATGTGTAAAAATCATTTCAATAATTTAAAAGCAAAAATAAAGCCTATAGATGCTGTACCTGTGTGAGGCAAGAAGGCCATGCTTGCTATTGGCTGGCTAGGTGTTTTTCGCTGTTGTGATTGGTCGGGTTGGCAGTAGATCTGTGTTGGAGTGCTGTGTGTCTGCGGCTGTATGAGAAGCGGTCGAGGGGTCTTGCTCAGCTTGGCCTCCCCGTCCTGCGTTGGTGCTGGGTACGTTTGCGTGTGGAGGCACGGCGTGGAGAACGATGCTGGGAAGAAGATGTCTCGCTGGTCTTTACTAAACTTGGGAGTGCTGGGTGCATCACTGGAGCTCTGAGAGACAGATGGGACAGAAAACAGTGCCATGAGTTGACGTCATCTCTTTCGATACTTAAATGGAGCCAAAAAAAATAGACAGAAACAAAGACTGAAATAAACTGATGATGACCTTCTGCTCTTTACCTCTTTGAATTCTTACAGTCAATAAGCCACAACTCATTATAAATAACCATTAAAGATCAAATAAAAATAACTGTTTTCTGTTTGAATAAAGTGTCATTTATTCCTGTGATCAAAGCTGAATTTTCAGCATCATTACTCCAGTCTTCAGTGTCACATGATCCTCCAGAATTCATTCTAGTAACACTTTTTATTATTATCAATGCTGAAAAACGTTTTTTGCTGCTTAATATTTTGTGGAAAACATTTTTTTCAAGATTCTTTGTTCAAAGTTCAACAAAACAGCATTTATTTGAAATACAAATCTTTTAAAATATTATAAAAGTTTTAACTGTCACCTTTATTTCATTTATTGTCAAATTAATGCATCCTTGTTGAATTAACACATTTCTTTCAATTTTTAAATAGTTTTTACTTTTTACTGCAACCAAACTGATGCTAAATGAATATTGCACAATGAATTATAAGTATATATGTAATGAGGTCATGCTGTTGCATACTACAGTTTTAAAATAAACCATTATAAACCAAACAATATTCATTAAGCAGCATTTTAACTCTTAGAGCTAGTATAACAGCAATATAGCCACTAAAATAACCAATCAACAAGCAGGAAACACACTTGTTGAGCAAATATCCAATCAAAAGCTCATGCTACAGACTTGAACATCCAATCAGCTGCATCCGTGAGGCCTACCTGTGAACTAGTGTTTCGTTTTGCCCTGCCAAGTGCCCTCTATCAAGATGAACGATTCAGTAGACGCTCAGCAGAAAAAGCAAGCGAACAGGCAAACAAACTAAAAAGCTCTGGGTTCTGTGTGTGTGTGTCTTGAGAGAAGCACTCAGGGACACATACAAACTAAACAACAACCGAACCAGCTGTTGCCATAGCAACAAAGCCAAACCGCAGCCAATAGCTGATCAAACGACCACGCACTCTCTCTTTCTGCAGAGCTTCGCACTCTTCGTCTCTCTCTCTCTGGTGTTGGACTGGTGCGGATCACATCTTGGTTTTGTGCACTAATGTTCAAAAGCTTCCAGTAGGAAGGATGGACACTTTCATGAAGCTGCAGCATATGATAAAAGAAAGAACTAAAGTTTTCTTCAGAAGAAAATATGAGTGGTGTTAGTATGTGTGAAACCAGAACAAAAAAAAAAGGTTGCTAAGGTGATCTGGGTGGTTGCTAGGGTGTTGTTAGATGTCTGCTTACCAGCCCAAGTCAAAAGACATCACCCCCCAAGATTCAATGAAATTGTGAAGGTCTCTCCTTTAATGCATCTGAGATTTGTTTTGCATAATTTATCATGCGACAGGTCAAATAATGATTTGTAATATAGCAATGATATTTTTTAACATATTCTGTAAAAATAAGTGTGGTTTTTCAACCCAGAAAACTATAGCAATACAGGTGGTTGCTATGAGGTTTCTACACGTTTAAAAATAAAGGTTATTTATCATTGATGGGTCCATAAAAAACCTTTAACAATTATGGAATCTTTCCATTCCACTAAAGGTTCTTTATAGTGGAGAAAGTTTTTCTTCTTCTTCACAATAAGAAAATAAAAGGTTCTTTTAAAGGGGTCATATGATGCTTTTTTAAAGATCATTATTTTGTGTATTTGGTGTAACAGAACATGTTGACATGCTTTAATGTTCAAAAAACACATTATTTTTCAAATACTGTACATTATTGTAGGTCCTCTATGCCCCGCCTCTCTCAAACGCTTAGTTTTCTACAAAGTCCCTCCTTCCGACAAGCGCAGTCTGCTCTGATTGGCCAGCTGACCCAGTGCATTGTGATTGGCCGAACACCGCAAGCACTCGTCGGAAATGTAACGCCCCTTACCATAATCGCGAGCTTCATCTTTCAAAATAAATGTAAAGACAGTAAATAATGTCATTAGTTTTACCATCAGTTCAAGCCCGAAAGGG